ACAGTTAACAGTTGGCGTATGCAAATAACAAGTGTTCTTGGGTCATGTGGCTGTTTACATTTTGTAAAGCTTACCTGCTCTTTTAGAGCTTTAAATGTTTGATTTGATTATTCCAACATGCTGCATAGAAGGGAGAGTGGATGAGAAAGGATGGGAGCTAAGCAAAAGGAAAAATGAGTAGAGAGAGAGAAGTCGAGGTAGAAGTCAAGAAGCAAAATCAAAATGAGGAGAATGGAAAGACGGTGGAGAGGACAGAGAGGGAAATGAGAAGGAGTACATCCTGGAGGTGGCCTGGTATAAGCTTGATTTACCTATTGTTAAACTGCAAATGAAAGAAATGAAAGTGGGAATACAGAATGCTTAGTGCAGCAATGGCATCTCATGCTCTGATATATCAGTTTCCAGGTTCTTGTTGCGTGGTGTGTGCTGGGAGGACCGACAATGGGGAGGGATGGGCAGAGACAGACTGAAACCACCTACAGAGAAAATGTGTCTCCCCTTCTCCCCTCAGTTCCCCTTGTACTTTCCCCACTCATCAGCCCTCTACACAGCTGTTTGTGGCTCAATTAGTCACTACTGCATTCAGCATGTCCGTGTTGCATGCTTGGACATCTGGTGGCAGCTGCTGTGTGCAGGTTTCCTGCCCGATCTCCAACAGTGACGTAGGAACTAACTGGGTATAGTAGTGTGAAAGTTGTGAATGGGAACTGGTACTGTGATTTCCTTCCTGTGCTCTGCTGGGAGCCATGTGGGTCAGCCAGGGACTGAGTGCTTTGGGACGGTGATAGAAACAAGGTTCTGATGGGGCCACAAAGTCTGCTGCAGGAGAAACTTTACTGCCAAGAGTTTCTTATGGCCTACTTAAGCAATTCTGGCTAAGGTTTTTGCCTGTGTTGGATTAATGAGTTGTTTAGGGATCTGGGGCAAACCAGTAAAACAGGCTGAGGAATCCACACGGTAGGTGCCAATATGGGTTGCTGCCTTTTGCAGAAGTAAACAACTAGGAGCCATTGTTGTCTTTCTAACTCTCTGCAGGACACAGGCTGCAAATTACATCTAGGAACAAAAGGCTGATGGGAGTAGAACCGGATGCCCAACTTCCCAAGGGAGTGCTTTGCCCTCCAGTCAAAAGAGTAGCTTTTCTGGCTCGAACCAGCACAGGCGCTTCTTATGCCTTCCCATCAGCACTCAGAGCCCAAGAAGCGTGTGCAGTATTGGACTTGCTACACCGCAGCATTTACTACCGTTTCCATTACAAAATCTGGTTTCAGGGTTGATCATGGAAATTAAATCTGGTCTGAAATGCAGGAAACAAGATTGCAGTCTAGGGACACAAGAGGAAATCTTATTAAAAATACCATTTCTTATTGAGATTACAGTTAAATGGGTATAAAATCCTCCCGAAAGTTACAGCCAGTCTCACAGACCGGCTGTACTCTATGCAGAATGTACGCTGCCATGGCCAGAATTACCTAATGAGATTTGTGCTTTTTATATTCAATAAGACTGTGTTCTTCAACTCCCCATAACAAGCTTGAAATTTCCATCAAAATATGTTCATAAAAGGATTTTTTTAATTACAAAAAAAGAAAGTCTTTCTGCTGACAATAGAAAAAAAAGGTTTTCTAATTTGAAAGAGATTCCTTTTCAAAGTTTCTGGGTTTTACAATATAAACACCAGCTATTTTGACACTATAGGGAGAGGCTGGCCATTGAATTCAGTGGAATTTTGGCCTTTGACTTCAGCTAGGCCAGAACTTCATCCTTTGTGAGGATTCCCGCAAAAACTTTATATCGCTGTAAGACAGGCATGTTCCTTTTCTAGGGCTCCAACATGTGTACTCACTATTAAGATTTTTTTCAAAATTAATTGGTGTTGGCTACAGTTCATGTATGTGAAAAAATCATGGATGAGTTATTTTGGTGTTCCTGTACTATATTGCACCATCGAAGATTCAGTGTCCACTGTGTCAAAGGCTTCACAGAAAAACACTTTTTTAAATGCTGGGATTTTATACTTTTTAGTTGCATTGTTTCATTCTCTTTTAGCCATTTTCATAGCCATTTATTATTTTACAAATTTTTAGTTCCAGTAGTTCAACTGCTTGCTGCCAAGGGAGTAAGCAAATTCCAAAAGCTCAAATATTTAACTATGTGATTTGTGTTGTTAACATAATGTCATGGGAACAAATCCACAATGGGAATAAACTAATAGGCTGAACTTAAAGCAATGCTCTGTTGAATTTCCTCATTTGAAGATTTCCTTTAGGATTTTTCTGTTCCTATATGCTAAGATTATCCCAAGCTAAAGCTTATGTATGTTATCCCAAGCTTACGTATTTCTCACAAAGAACTCCCCCAAACCAAATAAACTTTTCCCAGAGCTCTACATCTCCTTCGACTAAATTTTATGGGTAGCATCAGGCCCTGCACCCAGGCTAAATGTGGACTGCTGTCTACCTCAGGCCAACATATTTTGAGGGAGAAAGTCTATGTTTGGATGGGAAAGAGGGAAATATTTTTATATATTTTTGACTTATTTGTTAATGGTAGCTCTTTGAAGTGCTCAGTGCTTTGGAATGCAAGCGTCCTAGTCCAGTGCATAAGCAGGCACATGGCATGTGAAATAGGTAAACTTAGATGTTATACACACATAGTTCATTATTTTTTTCTGTGGTTTATCACATAAAATGATGTATTGTGGTGAATTATTTTTCTTGTAGACATCTGTCTTTTCCTTTTGCATTAGGTACTAGCACATCCATGCAGCTGGTCTAAACATCCCTAATCTTAGCCCAATTTTATAAGACAACAAGCAAGAGAGAGACTTTCCAAAGTGAAATACCACACACCTCCACCCAATACACGCAGAAGTACTAAGTCTAAGATGTATGTCAAATAATATTCAGTATTGAGAAAATAACCTGTTTACTTTCTGATGACAGAAGGGCTAGAATTAGAAACTTCAGACCATGAAGAGACTAGGAATTTCCACTCCTGGTAAAATAAGACTTTTGCTTCTGTAACACTTGCCCATGACCTGAAATGCCAAAGAAAATTTATTTTCGTTTTTTCATTCCATATAAGTGTGAATACATTAACAGAGAGGTATTTTATGTTCATCAAAAAATAAAACTCAAAGATACTTAAATTTTAATTAAATATTCCATTCTGTTGTTTCATCCATAGGGGTGAATTTTAAAAGTCATTTAGCAACTGAAGATATGCTTAGTAAACTCACAACATGTATTAACTGTGCACCATTATTTTAAATCCTACTAAACTTGATTCATATATTTTGATACCAAGACATCAATATCTATAAATGTACAGCAGTTCACAGAACTATTTATTTTCCACTACTATAAACAGTAAGGCATATAGGAGATTTTTTTCCTTGCTTTTAAAGCCATTTGTTTCAAAAGAAAAAGTAGAGTATTCACTAAATAAAATATGCTTTACCTGTAACTTCAAAGTTGCTAGCTTCTTCATAAAAAGATCTCCTGTGTTTTAAGGAAAGATTTTCACTTCAACCTTGTCCCATCAGATATTCTAGACCTGTAGGAAAAGCCTGTTGAAACCTGCTGCTAAAAATTTGGCTGATTGAGGAAAGGATAGCCAGCCATCTCTAAGTCAAATGTGAAAGAAAAGGCAAAGTCCTGTAAACCTCTTTGTGTAATGTTATTGTGCCTGTGGCTGGAAAGACCTGTCTGTATTTTTCCATTGTTTGTGCTAACAGAGATTAAAAATTCATGAGAAAACTCTTTCAAGTGGGAGGATCAACAAGTGGTAATCTGATACAGAACTATTCATTTCAAATTTGCAGACTGAAACTGAAATTTGGGCATTGTCAGTTATTGCACATTTTGGTTGTTAAAGGTGAGATGTACTGGCTTTGGCGATCCCTGACCAACTCCTCGTTCCACTGCGCACAAACCGCTGTGGCAATTCTGCACCTCTGAAGAGAGGCCAGCGTATGGAGACACCACAAGAAATCACTAAGGCACACAATAGATATGCCTTTCACTTATCTACAGAGACTTTGAGGTTTTCACCAAGTATTTCATGTGGCATTTGGAGTCACATAAAACCCCACACTGCAATGAACATATGCCCCTCAGGAACTGAGACCTTGTCTGAATGTCAAAGACTGTCATATATTCTCATCCTGTTTCTCTGCTTTGTGAATTGGGAATAAGAGGAATAATTCCTTCCATATCTCATGCCATCAATACAATCAGCTTTAGTCCTCAGTATCACTACTGGCACTGACATTAGTTACCACACTTTCGTTGGAGCAGTCTGTGCAGAGAAGCCAAGAGTAGAATGGGCTATGGGAGACTGAACCACCTCGACTTACCTTGTACATGGTGTTACTCTTTATCCCCTGGGGAAGAACAGAAACATTTTAGAAAGGTTCATTGCAGAGCAGGCATTTTGCTTACTTTGAATTGCAAAAAAGAGAAAAAGGTGAGATGGGACAAAATAAACAAAATATTTGGGGGAAACAACTAAGCAGTTGTAGATGCTTTGCAGGGGTTCAGAAACTCTAGTGCTTTATGTTCACCTGGTTTGCAATAATGAGGAGATTTTAAAATGTAAGAGAGGAAGCTTATAGCAAACAGTGCCTTTCTGAGCTAACTCACAAGAGATTATACAGATTTTCTTGTGATTGCAATAAATATAACTTTTGACTGTACTTGTGTAAGAAGAGGAGGTTTAGTGCCTCTTTAAAAACTTGAGTGTGGTTGCTTAGTCAGTACTAGCTCCCCTCCCACTCCCCCTTCTTCACTGCTGGGAGACTTTTGTTGCAATATGGGTGTGACTTTTGATGGAGCTCCCCCTCCCAGTTATGTCGTTACTTCAGTTCCTTTGAATCAGAATAAAAAGTGCAGCAAACTTCAGACTCATTGACAGCAGGCTTAACAAGCGTCGGGGCTTTTCTTCCTTCCACAGCTTGCAAGGGTCTGTGGTTTTTGCAAAACAGTTCTGAGAAAACAATGGCCAACTTCTCCTTATGGGTGACTTTTGGATTATGTTTGCTGAAGCTTTGTCTAACAGAAACACGTAAGTTTTTTATGAATGAAAACGCTTATGGTTGCTAATAAGTTTGTGCTTCAGACAGCAAGAGCTCTTCTGCTAGATAGCTAACAGCTTTCTTCTGTCTGTCTTTATATGAAGTTTTATTATTTGTAAGAGTTATCAGAGATGCTTTAGAACTGTAACTTCAGCCATGCCGGTCTGTACAATCATGGAAAGCTGTGTATTGCTTGTAAAGGGCAATTCCAGATCTATAAAAAAAGAATTGTAGATTATTAAAGTTAAGTTTAAACTAAGAACAGAAGTACATTAGGGAATTTAGAATAGCTCTGGTAAAGCTTAGCTCGACAACGTGACTGCTGTTACATAGGTAGTTTGCTTTCCCAGCTCGGTTTCATCCAGTAGAGAAGAGGGGGGGATGGGAACAGACCCCCCCCCCCCCCCCCAGCATACAGCAACTGCATTCTTAAGTTTATATGGGCTGAACTAACAGCTAATACATACTGTGTTTGAACACAGCCTTGCTGAACAGAGGCAAAACTGCTGTGATCTGTGAGTGAAATTTGGAGAGTTTTTATGCCAAGCATGCTTGTTTCTGACTTCCTAAGGTTTCTTTGGCATTGACTGATGAGATTTTGGAACAAAGAGGGTTAGAAGTGACCATGAAATTCAGTTGTTTATCAATTCTATTTCTGTAGTTTGGTTATCTGCTTCAAATATTTATATTTACAAGTGAAGCATTAATGCAGAGGAAAAAAATAAAAATTATATGTCCAAAATGACAGAATGCTTTTGAAATTTCACATGGTGCATGCTCAACCATGTTTGAGGGAAATGCCATGCATTTAATAAGACTTTCACTGTGACAGCAACTGTCTCAAGGCGTTTTGTGGTCAGGGATAACGATTGCACTTCTACATTATTTTTCTACTCATTGGTTACAGGAGTCTAACAAAATACACTTTTTGTGGCCATTGTTACCCAATGTAAAAGGGCTGTATATGTGTATAGTGAATGTATAAACTATTGGTCTGAGCAGCATGGACACTTCTGTAACGGTTGCAGCACTACTGGGCTTTGAATGGGTGTGTTAAGAGTGTATGGTTCCCAGCACATCTGTGATAGCTGAAACACCCTTATTGATTTTCTCTCTAAAATTGTCTGTTCATTGTACCAAAATTCTCTTGCTAAAATCAGGTATATAGATAAAGTCCTTAGAGAAAGGGCAGGGGTACTGTAGGCAAATAAAGTATGTCTGAGATGTGTTCAAAACCTTGGCTTCACCCAAGTCTGCATGCTTTCTAAGTATTATAATTTTTTTGTTACCGTCTGCTCAACTAATTTCTCCTTTTATGAGCTGCCAGGAGCGTCCCAAAGAAGCAAGGTCTGCACTGGCTCTGCGAGTAATGCATTTTTACAGTGAGACATAGCAGAAAACCCCCTCATCTAGTCTTCAGCATAGTTACAAACAGCATGTCAAACTTCACATTGCTCCACAGGAAAGTTTCTTTAATGGCTTAGCAAGGTATTAGACTATAGCTACAATATATTTTAGTTGGTATGCAGTTCATTCCAGCATGACTTTGTAGTTAGTAATTACTTTGATGGTGGTTTTGTTTTCTTTTTTAAACCAGTGACTTTGCTGTGTATCATAGAGGAGTGACCATTGCTGTTCAGAAACACCTTGCCTGAAGACAAAATTCAAATCTGCTCCTGAATCAGAAAGTTGATTCTTTTAGTACAGAATTTGGTAAAATTAGAAAGGACCTGGGATTACTGTTAATGCGATTACTGAGATGAGAGATAGCGAGCAGCTGGAAAATTTGTTCATACTGAGTTCTGTGCTGTTGTAACCACACTGTCACTGACGTGAGCAAGATGTACTCACTGTATTGACGTGACTTTTGTTGTCTAAGGAGTCTGGATCCAGGAGGATATAAATGCTGATGTCTTGGTTATTGATGATTCTGGGGGAGATTTTCCCCTGTGAGCATTATGTTCCTCTCAAAGTGTTCCTTGATTGATGCAAAATGAATCCTAGAATTTTGACCCTCAAACTGGAAGAAGCTGGAATAGAAGTAGTAGTAAAGATAAAATGAAAAGAGGGAGAATGAGTCCACCAGTGGGAGGGAGGAGCTTAGCTGTTAGCATTGGAGAGGTTGCCAGAGTCTCAGTATGAGGTGAGTCTCTGAGACAGTGCTACTATAGCTATCAGTCAGTCACAAAGGGAGAAATCTGCCTGTCTCTTGGTTCATATATCCACCATGTAAATTTGTAGATACAGTAGTTTGAAGAAGCTCTTTGAAAATAAAGAAGACTATTTTCACTTAGCCCTTATAGTGTGTGTCTAGGCTATTTTCCCAAAGCAGCAAAGTAACTAACTTTAATAAAGTTCACTTGAACTTCCACCATCGTTTAATGCAAAGGTTATATACCTGCCCTTGAAATACTCACACACAGAGCCAACAAACCATAGCAGAGGATTGTCTTGCAGTCTTTGGAGACATGTTTGTTTATTCTTTAGTTACTAGTGCTCACCACAATGCAGAACCATTACTTTGAAAACAGGAAGTCCGAGAAAGGCTTAGTATTATACAACGAGGAAGAACTTTTTAAACTAAATGCTTTTAAAACCACTGATAGCGCCAGCCAAAGTTAAATGAAATGTTCCCCCATACCTGTTGCATCTTTCTTTCTAGAACAGTTCCCATGACTTATAGGCCAGGATATGAAGACAGTATTAACATTGCAGTTATTCATCTAGCACCTAAATATGCATGAAGTTCTACTGTAGCAAGAATGTGCCAGCAGGATGAGATGTCCTGAGATGCTGATAGACAGGTACAAACAGTGGAGAGAATCATGAGCTCATTACTGCTAAAATACTTGTAGAAAAGATGAGTTCTCATGAATTTCATGAAGGGTTTAAAAAAATGCTGTCATTGAAGAACAACTGCCATTTCAAATGAAAGAACTTATGGAAGAGAGCAGGAAAATATAGTGAGGAAAAATGCAGATCTCAAAGGAATGTTTGGTTGTATGGCAAGGAGCATGGTGAATTACAGGAAGTAACTAAAATTTGTTACATAGACAGCATGAGTTCTTGAAGAATTTAAGTTAGAGAAGAACTCTTAAATGTATCCAAGCAAGAGATAAACCTCTTAGACATTTCCACTAGTTCAGATAGCAACTGTCAGGAACAGGGGAAAATAAATGAGAAATAAAAAAAGATAGCAGCAGCAATCAAGTTGATGTATAATACTAGTGTAGCCTATAGATACGTGAAAAGTTAGAAAAGTAAAAACTGCATTGCTGACATGGTGGAGGAAAAAGCTCTGGTGAGCTCTGTGGGATGTGGGATAATTAAAAATCAAAGGCAAACAATGCAAGATGGCAATGTTCTTGCCAAAGAAGAGATGGTGTTCAGAGGGAATGGTGAGACAGCAGCAGTAATAAGGTTTGAAAACAGGTTGCTAAGAGACATTGTTCTTAAGGATAGACTAGATGAACACCTTTAAAGAACAGTTTGGGTACTGGTGATTGTGCTGCTGGGTAAGAAGAGAGGTACCAGACCTCTGGTAACTCTGTTTCTTCTTTGATGAAAGAATAATTTTAGTCCTGAATGTAATTGACTGGTAGCGAAATACATTGTAGAGAAGCAGGGAAAAAATGATGTAGAGCTCCTTGTATAAGGAGAGGACAAGTCAGCCCAAAAACTTAAAAGTTTTTCGGAATTCCAGAGATGCTGTAAGAAGGCTTCTTTATTTGCTTTCTGGTCTTCCTGCCTCACCTTTCTGTTCCTGCACTAATGGATAAGTGTTTGAAAATAGTCAAGGTAGAAGATGATAATTCTCAACTTCATATGACACATATTTCATTATTTACAAAACATCATTTTTTTTTTATTTTTTTAAAAAACAAGAAAGCCCTATGTGAGAGAGTGAGACAAGGTGTTCTGACAAACTCTTCTCTAAAATGACTTTTTCCAGGACCAAAGCTGAATGTATGTAGTTACCTGTGAACTGTAACTTCAGAGCAAGAACAACCATGACATAAACATGACACACCACAATAATCTTGCCTACTTGAAAAAAACTACGTCGTTGTACTGTAACAATTCACAGTGTTCAAAATGTGATATTTTAGCATCAGCTGGTAACTAAGAGCATGCTTTATAGAATTTCAATTTTCAGCACTAAATTGAATCCTTAGACTAGAAAAGTTCAAACTTCCAACTGAAGGCTAGAAAAGTGAGAGGCACAAGAGAGATGTTGGGTTTGTTACCAACACATCATTGATACATATATCATGACTGCTACCAAGTAAAACCTAGAGCCACAGTCTGTTTTGCTCTTCGCCTTTACCTATAAGGGTTTCTTTGTGATATATCTGGTGGTTTGGACCGTTCTCCATGCGTTATCGACAGCTGTAGGCATGAAGCCAGTTTGGCATAGCTGCTAGTCATTTTCCAGACTAAACCAGAAGTCCATCAGCTGTTAACTCACAGTTGTCTCTCACTCCCAGGAAGGTGATAATAATTTCAAAGCCATCCGAGACTGTAATTATCAGTGACCATTATGGCTGCTGCTAATACTGGTGGCAGAAAGGATTGTGTCAGTCCTGAGTGTTTATCAGTTTCCTCCCTGCCAGATCACAGGACTCCCTACAGTGGCATCAGCAGTAATATCAGTAGCAGCTGGCTGTGATTTTTCCTCCCTTGCTGTGGCTGCTGGAGCTGACCCCACCCAAGGGACGACAGAGCAGCTCATCATCTGAGTGAGTTTGCAGGCAGTCATGTGAAATGGCAACTGCCAGAATGAGGGGTTTTCCTTGGAGAATGTTTTCAGTCAGACTGAAAGTTCAGCTAATTGCCATTTAAAGTTCAAACCTCTGTGACTGTTTCCTGCCTAACGAAACCTGCAGTCATTTTTGGAGTCTGTGCCTACAGTTAAGAACATAATTGAACTCTTTTGTATGCACTGGCTTTGGGACTTTCCAGTTCCTCTTCATGACAACACTGGCTGCAT